CAGAGAAAATGTTATTTTAGTGCCTGGAATGTCTGTCTTGTCTATTCTGGACCCTATTTGGAAATTGGCATCTTTTGAAATTTGTGTGAAATTGGCAAAATTGCTAATTTCTGACCGCTTTATTGGATAGTTGAAATCGGTAAATGGGTGGTTTCTTGTACTCATTCGATAGAAAAAATGGAATTCTAGCAAAATAGTTATGATTTTTGTTGACTAGTACACTGGAATTGGCCGAAAATAGGGCTCAAATTGGGTGAAATCGCCGATGCGTAAACATTCTCGAGACCGCTAACTTTGCGAGAGCATAATTCCATAAGTTTTCTATCAAATTTCAAACATTTGGTGTCATTATGATTGGGAAAAGATTCTCTATCTTTTCATAAGAAAAAAATAACTTTTTTTTCCGAAAAATTTTCGACCCTGAGAATGAGTTTAGGAGAGGGCCTCTTGACCCTGAAAGGGTTAATAGAAATGTCTATATTAGAGTAATATACGACATTTAATGTGCCCACGAGATTACATGTATTATTATTAAGGCATCAAGAGTAGACACTCTTAGTGATTTTAATTTGTACCTGCTCGCCAGCACAGTGTATAAGTATATTAAGGTATGGTTACACATAAGTATAATTATCAGAGTATAAATAAAATATGTAATAACTTTCAAACACTTGAAATTTTGGAAAATTTCCAGACATAATAGGGATATGTGCTCATGGAGAATGTAAACAAACCAGGTGGGGCACGCTGTATTTGAAAGACTTCTCGCCGTATAGCAAATTTTGGGCATAATTTGAAATGGTTTTTAATACTTGACGTGCTGTTGGAGTGTGAGCAAAGTAACATTTATGAAGGGATTCAAGGAAACCGGCAGGCCGGACTTGAGTCCTGGAGATGGGAAGTACAGTGCCTGCACTCTGAAGGAGGGGTGTTAATGTTGCAGTTTAAAAACTGTAGTGTAAAGCACCCTTCTGGCAAGACAGTGATGGAGTGAATGATGGTGAAAGTTTTTCTTTTTCGGGCCACCCTGCCTTGGTGGGAATCGGCCAGTGTGTTAATAAAAAAAAAAAAAAAATGAAATCGCTGTATTAGCAGAACGCCGTAAGGTGAAACGCTGTAAAGCAGGGCGCTACTGTACCCACAACTAGAAGATCACTAATGGGTACAGGATCTGATGTTCTTTACAGATGTAATGTAACACCTCCAATATTTAAATATGGCATTTCGAGGAAGGAACAAAGTTATTACAGAACTTGCCCAATCAGTTTTCAATTTTCAGAATACAATAAAGATTTTCGAAGAGATCTGGCAACAAAGAAATTTGACCACTTTTTCAACCTTAAATTAAGAATAACTGCTTTTCGTGATGTTGAAATTAAAAACAGCAAATTGAAAGAATATGAAGGAAATTCAGAAACAAGTTTAGGAAACTAAAAAAGTTAAAGCTAAGTTTTAAATTTTTTGTGAATCCTTTAGTGATTGATGTCATCAATGGTGGATGTCCTGTTGATGCCTCTTTAGTTACTGATGTCATCAATGATGGATGTTCTGTTGTTGCACCTTTTGCCTTGGATGTTCCTTCAATAGAAACAGAGCTTACTGAACTGCAGGAGGATGTGAGTTTGAAGCTAGTACATAAAAGCTCATCTCTAATTGATTTTTGCAAACAAATTCTAGAAGCAAAGTATCCCAATCCCCAGAAAACTGGCTTCTGACTACTCTCTGTGTTTTTGGAACAACTTACTGCTGTAAATCTCTCTTCTCTGTAATGAAATTTATCAAGTCAAAAGATCATGCTATCCTCACTAACAGCCACCTCACTAAGATTCTTAGAACAGCTTTGACATTCTAACAGCCAGATTTTAACCCTTTGACTGTTTCACTCGTATATATACATCTACGAGCCAGTGTTTTTGACGTATTAATACGCGTAAATTCTAGCTGTTTCAAATCAAGCAGGAGAAAGCTGGTAGGCCTACTTGTGAGAGAATGGGTCTGTGTGATGGGTGTGTGCAATATGAAAAAAATCGGGGACTCAGTGGTACATTGTGGGAACGCCATTTTAGTAGTCTTGTTCATGATGCCTCATGGTAAGAAGTACCTTACTTCTCACCGAATCGGAAGTTTTCAGGGGGGTGTGACCGAAAGTAGTACCCACAATAACGTAATTAGTGATGAAAACCCAGATGACCCACAACCTTCTACCTCTGGTGCTGGGCTGTCTCATTCACATTCACCTGTACCAGGACGAAAGAGGAAACTATTTCCCCATGTACAGGACTCAGATGGTTGCAGTGAAAGTGATACTAATTACCAAGCTATTGAAAGCAGTTCGAGTTGTGACAGTGAAGCAGCAGTATGTATGACACAGCATGCGTTCTGGTAGTGTGCTATATGCCATTCCAAGGAAAAAGAGTAAATCTAGGAGTACATCCAGTGGTCTTACACCATGAATTGATAACAAAGATGATGGTATTGTTACAATGGGGATGCATAATGTGTATGGGGCAGAAAGTCGTCGTCGTCCTGGTGGTAGTGGTGGTGGCGGCGGTATGAGTCATGTGGCACCAGCATTGGGCCACACTGCTACCCATGCTGCTAACTCAGCACAGCCACAACCAGCCTCAACCACCCCCACACTCCCACAATCACAACCTCCACAACCACAACCACCTGTCAATATTCAGTACCTACCAGCAGATCACATCTGGGATTAGCAGGAAGGTGCAAATTTTGTTCCCAATCCCCATGACTTTAACAAAACAAAGTGAAATATAGCCATTGTGTACACTTGGGAACAATGCCACTGAACTGGAATGCTTTCAGTTATTTTTCAATGAACCTCTGATGGAAATTATTGTCAGGGAAAGCAACACATACTATGAGTACACCATGGCAAACACAATTCTTTCACCAAGATCATGGCTACACCAGTGGAAGGACACAACTGTGGCAGAGATGTACCTGTTTTTCCCCACAATAATGCTTATGCCACATGTGTATAAGCACACTCTCACCACATACTGGTTGACAGACTGCCTTATTTCAACCCCAGGTTTTAGTGATATTATACCAGTGAATTGATTTCTGCTACTGTTATGTATGCTACACTTCTCAGACAAAACAAGGCCTGACAGAAACGACAGGTTATATAAGATCAGGAATGTGTTTATGTACCCGAAACAAAAGTGCTTTATGTATTTTTATCCCTTCAGGAAGCTTGTTATTGATAGTCTTTGATTTTGCTCAAAGGCAGACTGTCGTTCAAGCAAGAGGAAATGCTTCAGTATAAAGTTATTTGTACTGTGTGATTGCAAAAGTGGTCTGGTTTTGGATATAACTGTGTACACTGGCAGTAATACATTGAGAGATACCAGGAAGTTATTGGGTATCTCTGGTGATGTGGTTAGAACAATGATGGAACCATATCTTGGTAAGGGGAATATATTATATACTGATAACTGGTACACAAGCCCCTAACTCAGTGATTTCTTGTGAGTGAACATGACAGACGTGTGTGGCACAATGCATGGAAATCGTAAACGTGTGCTTAGGTTCGATGCAGGCACTCACAGAGGTGAGGTGCAGGCGTTTTCTGCCAATGATATCTTGGCATTTCAGTGGCATGACAAACGTGATGTCACACTGTTGACATCAGTTCACCAACACGAAATGGCAGACACTGGCAGGCAGAATAGAGAGACCAATGAACCCATTCTAAAACCTGCAGCTGTGATGGACTAAAACCTCAATATGCACTTAGTGGACAAATGTGACATGCAGATTGGGTTTGCTGATTGTGTTTGCAGAGTTATAAGTGGTACATAAAACTCTTTTTCCATTTTCTTGATATTTCCATACTGAATGTTTATAATATGTATAAGTTGAAGACCAACAACAAACCCAAATATGGTGAATATTGTCTGTCAGTCATCAGACAAATAATATTCAAATACCAAGAAACAACACCTGCAATAGACCAGGGCCCACAAAATTATCATACATACCCTCTCATCTGAAGCCTGGTGATCACTACCCCATACAACTTCCTCCTACTACTTTCAAGAAAAAGAAGAGACACTCATTTTATGCGTGAGGAGTGTAAAATACCACTGTGCATATACCCATGTTTCAAAGAATTCCACAAGCTGCAGAAGTTCTAGGAAAGTGTCCAGTGACTGTACATTTGTATATACATTATAGAACAATAGCAATAAAAAATTTTTGTATTGTTTGTTTGTGTTAACAAGTTTTGTAAACAATATATTGATGAGAATGTTTGTGCGCTTACTGCGTCGCATACGAGTGTATTTATGTACATTGCACCATAGTACTTTGGTCTCACAGGCCACATAAGTTATCTGAAAATATAAAGTAGTGGAAAAAATAAGAAACCTTCAAATGGGAGTAAAAAAGAGTTTACTAGGTGGGCGGCATTTGCTGCTGTTGCCATACACGGCTCATTTTCTGCCAACTTTGCACCTCTATATCTCGGTAAGTACTAATCGCAATTTTTCTTTTTTTGTAAGCTTAAAGCACTCAGGAAATTAATCCTAACATTATGGTAAGAAAAAATAATTTTTTTTTCGAATATTTTGCGACAGGAAGACAGTTTCAGAATTGGGCTTGCGACAGTTGAAGGGTTAAACTATTAAGTGCAAAAATGAAGACTAAGTCAAAATCTTCAAGGAGAAGAGATCAAACATATTCTGCTTTGGTGAGTAGGATTACTGTATACCTGTAGTTGCATTTTTTATTATTCATAATACAGTTTTAAAATAATATTTTTTTGTGGCTCTTGAATATTCGAAAATGTATGAAAAGTGTTATATGTGGCTCTTCTTTTCGAAGAATTTGCCCACCCTTAAATCTTTGCAGTACCAAGCTTTCTAAACAGGATTATTACTCTAACAATACTTCAATGTGTTATTTTCCAATAGAAATAAAGAATTTGATCTTAATAAATTTAAAATATATTTACAGGAAGATGATTTGCTTACTGCTATTTTGCTATGTTTAAGTTTGCTAAGGATACCCCGAGGAGGAGCCTGCGTAAACTGTACATCCTCCTCTTCACCGTCATCCAGAGCACATGATTCTGCTGGTGGCAGTTCAATCATTCCATCCTGAAAAAAAAAAAAGTTTACTAGCATGTAATAAAACTTAAAAACTCTTGAGAGTAAGCAAACAAACATTTTATCTCTTTGTGCATTATCAAAAATGTAGTTTACACATAATAAAATATTGTTGAAACACAAAAGAAAGTCACTAGAATGCATATGTATTTTATGCAGAGTAATCCTAATGCTGACAGACTACTTAAGATTAAACATAGGTATTGGGTGGTACAATTTTAACTATGGATTATTACAGAAAAGAGACAGCAAAAATAGTACAAATTTAAGTATGTATTAATACTTTAAACTGATTCAGTAAGCAAATACAAGTACTGGCTGGGACACCCAAGCATACTAATTATAAGGGTAGATAAAGATACAGTTAAATAAAACTGAAATACCAGCAGAAATTTTTTATTTTTTTACAAGATGATGGAACTGCATTTTTAAATCGTAATTTTTTTTTTTAACAAGTCGGCCGTCTCCCACCGAGGCAGGGTGACCCAAAAAGAAAGAAAATCCCCAAAAAGAAAATACTTTCATAATCATTCAACATTTTCACCTCACTCACACATAATCATTGGTTTTGCAGAGGTCCTCAGAACACAACAGTTTAGAAGCATATATGTATAAAGATACACAACATATCCCACCAAACTGCCAATATCCCGAACCCCTCCTTCAGAGTGCAGGCACTGTACTTCCCATTTCCAGGATACAAGTCTGGCTATATAAAAATAACCAGTTTCCCTGAATCCCTTCACTAAATATTACCCTGCTCACACTCCAACAGATCGTCAGGTCCCAAATACCATTCGTCTCCATTCATTCCTATCGAACACGCTCATGCACGCCTGCTGGAAGTTCAAGCCCCTCGCCCAAAAAACCTCCCTTACCCCTTCCTTCCAACCTTTTCGAGGACAACCCCTACCCCGCTTCCTTCCCTTACAGATTTAAATGCTCTCCATGTCATTCTACTTTGATCCATTCTCTCTAAATGACCAAACCACCTCAACAACCCCTCTTCAGCCCTCTGACTAATACTTTTATGACTTCACATCTTCTCCTAATTTCCACACTCCAAATTTTCTGCATAATATTTACACCACACATTACATACTCATGTAAATCACTTTTCAACATCTAGCCTATTCTTACTACCTGATATTTTAATCTCAACCACCTGATTATATTACTATATTACAAATGAAAATGAACTAGCGAACTTTCTTCATGATGCAAACATTACAGAGTCTGACTGATATTAGTGACCAAACCATTGTACTATGTTAGTGTATGTTATTTATTTTTATTATCACACTGGCCGATTCCCACCAAGGCAGGGTGGCCCCAAAAAAGAAAAACTTTCACCATCATTCACTCCATCACTGTCTTGCCAGAAGGGTGCTTTACACTACAGTTTTTAAACTGCAACATTAACACCCCTCCTTCAGAGTGCAGGCACTGTACTTCCCATCTCCAGGACTCAAGTCCGGCCTGCCGGTTTCCCTGAACCCCTTCATAAATGTTACTTTGCTCACACTCCAACAGCACGTCAAGTATTAAAAACCATTTGTCTCCATTCACTCCTACCAAACACGCTCACGCATGCCTGCTGGAAGTCCAAGCCCCTCGCACACAAAACCTCCTTTACCCCCTCCCTCCAACCTTTCCTAGGCTGACCCCTACCCCGCCTTCCTTCCACTACAGACTGATACACTCTTGAAGTTATTCTGTTTCGCTCCATTCTCTCCACATGTCCGAACCACCTCAACAACCATTCCTAAGCCCTCTGGACAACAGTTTTGGTAATCGAGCACCTCCTCCTAACTTCCAAACTACGAATTCTCTGCATTATATTCACACCACACATTGCTCTCAGACATGACATCTCCACTGCCTCCAGCCTTCTCCTCGCTGCAACATTCATCACCCATGCTTCACACCCATATAAGAGCGTTGGTAAAACTATACTCTCATACATTCCCCTCTTTGCCTCCAAGGACAAAGTTCTTTGTCTCCACAGACCCCTTTTCCCCTCATCAATTCTATGATTCACCTCATCTTTCATAGACCCATCCGCTGACACATCCACTCCCAAATATCTGAATACATTCACCTCCTCCACCTTCTTCACTGCTTTCAGTAACCTACCTCCTACACCATACACCTGCAACATCTGCCACATTGCCCCCCTATCCACCCTGTCATACGCCTTTTCCAAATCCATAAATGCCACAAAGACCTCTTTAGCCTTATCTAAATACTGTTCACTTATATGTTTCACTGTAAACACCTGGTCCACACACCCCCTACCTTTCCTAAAGCCTCCTTGTTCATCTGCTATCCTATTCTCCGTCTTACTCTTAATTCTTTCAATAATAACTCTACCATACACTTTGCCAGGTATACTCAACAGACTTATCCCCCTATAATTTTTGCACTCTCTTTTATCCCCTTTGCCTTTATACAAAGGAACTATGCATGCTCTCTGCCAATTCCTAGGTACCTTACCCTCTTCCATACATTTATTAAATAATTGCACCAACCACTCCAAAACTATATCCCCACCTGCTTTTAACATTTCTATCTTTATCCCATCAATCCCGGCTGCCTTACCCCCTTTCATTTTACCTACTGCCTCACGAACTTCCCCCACACTCACAACTGGCTCTTCCTCACTCCTACAAGATGTTGTTCCTCCTTGCCCTATACACGAAATCACAGCTTCCCTATCTTCATCAACATTTAACAATTCCTCAAAATATTCCCTCCATCTTCCCAATACCTCTAACTCTCCATTTAATAACTCTCCTCTCCTATTTTTAACTGACAAATCCATTTGTTCTCTAGCTTTCTTAACTTGTTAATCTCACTCCAAAACTTTTTCTTATTTTCAACAAAATTTGTTGATAACATCTCACCCACTCTCTCATTTGCTCTCTTTTTACATTGCTTCACCACTCTCTTAACCTCTCTCTTTTTCTCCATATACTCTTCCCTCCTTGCATCACTTCTACTTTGTAAAAACTTCTCATATGCTAACTTTTTCTCCCTTACTACTCTCGTCACATCATCATTCCATCTCTCTTCACATCATCATTCCACCTCTCTTCACATCATCATTCCACCAATAGTGTATGTTATTATGCCATTATTGAACTAATCCCTGTACTATCACCTCCTAGATAGTATTTACTACCTCATTATCCCATGTGTCCTACAGTTCCTTGTGTGACCCAATTTGTGTTATCTTCCCATATTTCCTGTTCACAATTTATTACTTGTTAATAAGATACTTACTCTTTAATAATATCTGTATTACCATTTATTCCTACTTAAGCACTGTTATAATTCTTCTATAATCTTACCTAAATTTCCCTTTGCTCCTAAACTACAAATAACAAACTAGTGTATGTTCCTACTACACTACAGTGCAATTCCTTGTACCATCTTCCACTAGCTAGTATCAACTACCTCAAATAATATTTCTTTAATGATATTAATTGCTCAAACTTTATGTTATAAGGCAAATCCTACTCTCAGATTAATTTCATAACATAATGTCAATCTATTTCAAGGTTGTTTTTACCACTACTTAATTTAGTCCCTTTTTACATTTCTACTGAAATAATTCTCTATATACCAATACATTGTACTGCCCTTTGTTCAGTAATCGCTATACTCCTAGTTCTAACAACAATTAAAGAGAAACTTTCAGGAGATTTAATATTTTTTTTTCCCTCTTGTCCATATAGTCACATTTATTAAAATACTCCAGGTGCTATTGACTACCTCAGGTGCTATTGACTACCTCAGGTGCTATTGACTACCTCAGGTGCTAATGACTACCTCAGGTGCTATTGACTACCTCAGGTGCTACTGACTACCTCAGGTGCTATTGACTACCTCAGGTGCTACTGACTACCTCAGGTGCTACTGACTACCTCAGGTGCTACTGACTACCTCAGGTGCTACTGATTTTGTTTTAATACATTCTTGTTTTTAATACATTCTTTTATTATTATATTCACTAGCTCCTTTATTCTAGCTGTAAATATCTACCGTAGTTCATAAACTCACATTTGTTGAAATAATTAAGGTGCTATTAGATGCTTAAGTGTATAACTGAATTATCTGTTCTGTAATGGTCCCTTTTTCTTTCAAATTTTTACAAGTTTTAGAATAATTAGTCTTATTCATAAGTCTAGGTGCTATTGACTACCTCAGGTGCTACTGATTTTGTTTTTAATACTGTACATTCATTTAGTATTATATTCACTAGCTCCTTTATTCTAGCTGTAAATATCTACCATAGTTCATAAACTCACATTTGTTAAAATAATTTAGGTGCTATTAGATGCTTAATTGTATAACTGAATTATCTGTACTGTAATAATCCCTTTTTCTTTTAAATTTTTACAAGTTTTAGAATAATTACAGTCTTATTCACAAGTCTAGTTGTAGATTCAATATAACTCTTATATTATTCTACTTGGAAAATCTAGTTTATAAAACTACTCTTATCCTATGATTACAGGCATAGATCCTGATGTAAACTTTTTACTAAATGAAATACACAAATCAAACAGTAACTGTAATTACTATACAGCAGACTAAGCAAAGACATTACTCAGTGCAAACAATAACATAACCATCTTTAACTACAATATCAGATCCTTGAGCAAACATTATGATGACCTCACAGCATTATTCAATTCCCTTCATTCCAAAATATCAATCATCACACTCACAGAAACCTGGCTTAAGCCTGATATTACAGATGTCTATACCATTCCTGGCTACATGGCCATACACAACTGTAGAACAGACCAGCAAGGGGGAGGAACAGCCATAAACTACTCAAATCAACTCAAATGCATCAATAAATCTTGCACAAGGGATGAACATGGAAAATATATCATAGCCAAATTTAAATCAAAAGACCTGCAAAAACCCCTCACAGTTATAAACATATACAGAGTACCACAGTCAAACATTTACCACTTTAGTGAAAAACTAGGAAACATGATTACTGATGCACACATGTATAAAGACCACCTACTACTAACAGGAGATTTCAACATAAACATACTACACGACCAGGACCCACAAGTAACTAAATTCACAAACACAATGAGTAACTGCCTGTTGCTACCAACAATATCTAAACCTACAAGAATCACCGAGACAAGCATCTCCTTAATAGACTACATCTGGACAAACACCATATCCCCTAACATATCAGCATAATCACAGACACCACATCAGGCATAATCACAGACAACACTTCAGACCACTACCCAACCTTTCTCATAACTAATCTGGGCAAACTGCCACAAGACATCACTAAAGTAACCTTCAGACTACATAACGAGACAACAGTTAACAACTTTATAGCAGCTATGAATAACATCGATTGGCAAAATGAGCTCGAAACATATACAGATATGAATGAATGTATAAATAATTTTCTAAAAAAAAGCCCAAAGCCTCTATAACAAACATTGCCCCAAAAAAACTAAACAGATCACAGCAAAGAGACTGAATAATCCCTGGCTAACACCAAGCATCCTCAAATCCATTAACACAAAGCACAAATATGAAAAACAGTATAGAATGGGTCAAATAACTAGAGAACAGTCTAAATGTTACTCATCAGCACTTACCAGCCTGATAAGAAGATCTAAAAAATTGTATTATGAAAATAGATTACATAACATCAAAGGTGATATGGAAAAAACCTGGAAAACTCTGTCTGAAATTCTTGGAAATAAAAAGTTATCCAAAAACAAAACAATCAAACTAACAAAATCAGATGAACCCCTACTCACACCTACTGAAACAGCAAACAGACTCGACGTTTTCTTCTCCACCATAGGTAAAAATCTAGCGAACAAAATACCAAGATTAAACACCCATCCATCAGACTACCTCATAGGTACCTACCCAAATATGCTATTCCTAGCTCCAACCAACCCCATAGAAGTTACGTTCATCATAAGCACCCTTAAAAACAAGGCAGGAGACATAAACAGCTTGCCTGCTTTTATGTACAAAAAAGCTTTTCAAGTATTGTCACCTATTATTGCAACACTCTTTAACAAATCCATTGAATCAGCTACCTTCCCAACAATCCTCAAAACAGCGAGGGTCACTCTGATCCACAAAGGAGGTGACCAAGCTGACTTGAATAACTATAGACCAATATCTAACTTACCACTGCTCTCTAAAATCTTTGAAAGATTAATTCATAGACGGATCTATTCCCACCTCGTCTCACACAACATATTAAACCCTTGTCAGTTTGGATTCAGGAATAATAAAAGCATGAATGATGCTATCATACACATGCTAGAACTAATATTTACCGCACTCGAAAAGAAAGAAGTCCTGCTGGGCATTTTCATTGATTTACATAAAGCTTTCGATACAGTCGACCATGAACTGCTGTACTCCAAATTAACGCACTATGGTATCCGAGGCCACTTCCTTAACTGCCTAAAATCACACCTTAGTAACCGAACTCAATATGTGTATGCAAATGATGCAAACTCTTCTACCCAACCAATCACAGCAGGAGTCCCACAAGGAAGCGTCCTCGGACCACTCCTCTTTCTCATCTACATCAATGATCTACCAAATGCATCACAGCTACTCAAACCCATATTATTTGCAGATGACACTACATATGTCTTTTCCCACTCAAACACAGTCATACTAGCAAACACAGTCAGTGCCGAATTGCAGAAAATATCTGCCTGGATGATGACTAATAAACTTACCATGAATACTGATAAAACCTATTTCATTCAGTTTGGAAACAAAGCTGCAAATGATCCGATTAACATAACACTAAATGGATCACCAGTCACAAGACTCACAGAGGGAAAATTCCTAGGTATCCACCTTGACAGTAGCCTTAAGTTCCAGACACACATACAACAAATCACCAAGAAAATCTCCAAGACTGTAGGCATACTATCAAAGATAAGGTACTATGTTCCACAATCAGCTCTCCTGACACTGTACCATACACTCATATACCCTTATCTTACATATGGAATTTGTGCATGGGGATCAACAACATCCAATCACCTAAAACCCCTCATAACCCAGCAAAAGGCAGCAGTAAGAATGATAACGAATTCCCACTCCCGCCAGCATACTCCACCAATTTTCATAAGTCTGAATCTGCTCACCATTAAGAACATCCATACTTATTCATGTGCCCACTACATACACAGAACAATACATGCAAATATAAACCCTCCACTCAAACTTCTCCTCACCAACTTAAACAGGACACATGACCACAACACAAGACACAGATCTCTTTTTGATATACCTCGTGTCCATATCACACTGTGTAAAAACTCTATGCACATAAAGGGCCCTAAAATATGGAATTCATTACCAGAAGATATTAAAGTAACCCAGTCTGAAAATCAGTTTAAGACTCTTCTCAAAAGCCGCTTAATCACCCTAGACTAAACGCTAAATACTCAGTACACACATACTCACCTATGTACTCCCACATCATAACTTCAACAATCACTCTGAACCTTTTACCCAATGCTGACAGGAATATAACTGAACCATTGTTTTCACAAAAAGCATTTTAGACTATATGAATATATCCTTTGTCTTATACAAATTTAATTCACTTATAATTAATAATCTACTGTTCAAATATGAAATAATTACTGTCCTAATGTACAACTATGATATAATCCTTAGTGTTAAGTAGTCTGTAAGCCAATAATGTTAAGTTGGCCCATAATGCCTAGACATAATAGAGGCTCTCTTTGCATTGCAACCCACTATTGTAAATATAAAATCTCAATGTACTGTTTGCAAAGACATCAAATAAATAAATAAATAAATAAATAAATAAATAAATGACTGAATCAATTACTCATAATGTATCATTACACAATGCCTCAATTATTTCACACAGTAAGTGGCTATCTTTTAAACATACAATTATAACTGCATTCAATCATATTTTAATTGTATATAAACATTAATCAAACTAACTGCAAACTCATCCATTATAACTTCAATGTATGTTTTAAAAGAAATTAAAAATTTAAAATATTTGAAAAAAATTCTTATAATAAGTGGTTATGAAATAAAAATTAATTTCTGAGCAAGGGTTCTTCAAGCCAGAGAGCAGCTAGTATGTTTATTCAGTTACAGGTACACATAAATACAGTACAGGTACACATAAATATGTACAGGTACACAAGAAGATCATTCAGCTCTCTGGGCAATAAAAATTAATACAACACATAAGAAAAACAATGATAAAACTAACAAACATACAAAGCTATAATGAATCAAAGGTATAAAACACTAACAAGTTGATGTACAAAACATGTGCAATATCTAGGTATCTTTATTTGAGATATGTTTTGCCTACCAAAGGGTTTATCAATCTAACATGGAGGCAAAAATAAAGGAGATTTATGCAGTTTAACCAATGAGGTGACCTCACATTGCCTTTTTATTTCTACTCTCTAAATTCCCTGCATCTTACTCACACCACCCATTGCTCTCAATTATTATTAGTTATTATTATTATTATTATTTGGGATTTTGAGGGAAAAAGGCTAATGGAAATTGTGTGGGCCTCAGCCTCCCCCTTGGAACAGCCACTGGTATTGCCCAAGAAGGGTAGGGAGTGAAGTCAGCCTCTCTCACCAGACACCTGCATTCAAACACCAAATGTCACAGGAAGCCTTGCACAGTGAGCAAAGAGTTCATAACCCCCCTTCCTCCTATGTGAACACCTCAGCATCACCTGGGTTGCCAGGTGAATGCCTAACCTGAAACAGGTAGCATAGGCCTAGCTCCTTACAGCAGATTGAGGGGAAGCTCACTAGATTCAACACAAGCTCTCAACAGGGAAAATATTGACTACACCCATGCAAAGCCATATTCACAAGTGGGGGAGCACCTTAAGAATGTCTAATGCCTGCTGAGCACTGACTTTGCATTTCTTTGTATGAGGACTATGCCAGGACCTTAATGTAGATCCTTACTACAAAAAAAAAAGTCACTTGCTGCTCATAGGGAAGGATCACAACATGGAGAAGCATGAGGGGTTCCATCACAAAAATATGGCTTTGAATTATGAAAAAATGCATTCCTGTTTAATGCCCCTGAGGCCTATGAATTTCAAGTAGGTTCCCAGGGTACCCCCAAAAAAATACTGTAGTCATCTTTTTTCACCAAAGTTAAAGAACTACCTTTGAAGAAGCACTGGCTACCAACTTCATGTACTTGTATTCAAGGCGCTGGTTCTTCTTCCAGAGACAGAAAAGGAGTAAACAGAGCATTAAGGCCATGCTTACTGTGCTCAAAACAATTACCTGCAAAATTACGAAGATCAACAGATTTTAAAGAATTTAAGTAGAAACATTGATTATTTTTTCTAATTACAAAAAACTTTCAAAAATTCTTTATTTACTTGCCACAGGTTAGAGGGAAGATGCTCACAACATACAAGAGGCAGGTACTGTACTGAGAGGTACAGACAAGGTGGAGCAAACTGTTTGAAAGACATGGGACCAGAATGAAGGAACATCAATACAAACTAAAACACTGAAAAAGAGTCCAAAAGAGATTCATAAAAAATTTTTTAGACTGCGAGTAATGAGTGAAGGATATTGCTAAAGAAAGTTGTGGAGGAAGAGAGGGAAGGAGGATGAGAAAGAAACTGTTCTTTTGCTTCTCTCATAAAATATTTGGTCTAGTCATAATCATTCCTCTCAAGCACTGACATTCAATGTAATTTCACACACAATTTCCTCCTCTTTCCATTACCATTATTTAAATTCTATTACTATAATTCACTCTCAATAAAATGTTCAGAGCACAATTTCTATACAGTAATATCTTTGTTGGGAAGTAAGTGAACTGGTGTCCAAATTTAAAAAAAAAAATAATCAGGAGGAAGCTCAGGGAAATGGGAGGCAATCATTTTCAATCAAGGAAAGGGAAGATTAGTTCCAATTTATTGGATCACAAGTCCTTCAACAGCATCAAGGAACATCCCTTGAGAGAATCTGAATACATAATAGATATGCTCTCAGTGGCCACTGTATTAGGTATACCTTTCCAGTACTGGGTAGGACCCCTCTTTGCCCACAGAACAACTGAATTCTTTGTACTGTAGTATGGATTCAACAAGGTGCTGGAAACATTCCATAGTGATTCTGATATATATGTTGACATGATAGCATTGTGTAGTTGCTGCAGATTTGTTGGCTGTACACCTCCCATTTCACCACATCACAAAGGTTTATACCAAATTCTAACCCTACCATTTGCATGTTGCAACAGAAATCACAATTCGTCAGATTAAGCGACGTTTTTCCAATTTTCACCTGTCCAGTTTTGGAGAGCCTGTGCCCACTGTTACCTCAGTTTCCTGTTCTTAGGTGAGAGAAGTGGTACCCAGTGTGGTCTTCTATTGCTCTCCTATCCACTTCAAGGGTAGATGTGTTGTGTGTTCTGAGATGCTCTTTTGCATACCACTCACAGAACTGCCATTCACTGGATGTTTGGTGTTTTTCACACCACTCTGTAAACTTTAGACTGATGTGCATGAAAATTCCAGATCACCAGTTTCAACTACCCTGCCTGGCGCCAACAATAATTCCATGGTCAAAATCACTTAGATCGCATTTCTTCCCCATTCTGATGTTTGGTCTGAACATTATTATTATTATAATCATAATGAAGCACCAAACTCTTAAGGGTCATGCAGCCAGGCAGGTCTGAACAATAACTGAACATTTTGACCGTGTCTGCATGCTTTTCGGCATTGAGGTGTTGCCACGTGATTGGCTGATTATGTCTTTAATAACCCAGCAAAAGGCTGCAGTGCGATTAATTACAAACTCCTGCATTAGACAACACACACCACCTCTTTTCAAGAGTCTTAACTTGCTAAATATAGAAAATATCACACTTATTACTGTGCCTACTACATATAGAGAACTCTATACTCTAATGTAAACCCTCCTCTCAAATTCTTCCTTAATAACTATACCAGAACACACAACCATGATATGAGACACAGATCACTCTTCGATATCCCTTGTGTTCATCTCTCCCTATGAAAAAATGCTATGCACATAAAAGGCCCAAAGATTTGGAATTCATTGCCAGAACACACTAAAGGAGCCCTGTCTGCAAATCAGTTTAAGGCCCTAATAAGAAATCACCTCATCACCCAAAATTAACCAGATAAACCGTACCTAATCATTACCAGTTTCTCAAAAGCTACTCATATTGTGTTGATGAATGCCCAACCACTTACTACTTCAAAATTAGGATGTCTGTTTTTTCATTGTTTTAAACAGTACTAGATTGTAACACAAAACATCATAATGTAAATTGTTCCATTGTAATACCAAATTTCATTGTTTTAAATAGTACTAAACTGTAATACATCATATTGTAAATTGTTTCAAACTCTTACATTGTAATACTTTAAACTTTATTAACTAATTCAATAGTGTAATAAGTCTCTACTAGACTTATCAAAACCATATAGCATTACCTGATAGAATATTGAGTTCTCCTGTACTCACTGTAACTCATCTAATGACCATATGAACTATGTATTATTACCTTACGAATCATAAGTTAATCTTTAAGTTTGCCCGAAATGCCTGCATACAAAGGGGCTTTTGGCATGTACACCCAACTATTATATTCCTCTGTACAACCATGTAATTTGTCAAAATAAACATCTTAATCTTAATTTGAATTAACAAGTGGGTACACAAGTGTACCTAATAAAGATGCCACTGAGCGTATGACACTATATTTTTTCAGAGGAAAATGTCATGAATTAGGAATTTTAAGAACTGAAATTAAAAAATCTTTACTCTAAAGCAGTAAATTTTAAATTTACCACCTCTCTTATTCAGAAAATTCTAAATTAAAGAGTATACCAGAATTAAATTTATATAGTTTAGGAATCAATCATAAAATTCCAAATTTTAGAAATTATTCAGATTTTAAAAAATGAATAAGAGATGCTACTATAACAATATTTTCTTACCTCAACAAGGAATGGAAGTCTGGTGCTACAGGAACAGAGTGACCACCAGGAATAGCATCTGGGGCACGACAGTTCTTGGGAGCAATGTAGTGCACTTTCTGTTTACCTCCTTCACACTCACCATGGACCACACTAGATCAGACATTAAAAAACATGTAATACTACAGTAATTAAAGCGTCTGTTGAATTTTTGAACAGCTCTAGTAGCAATGAAAGAAAAAGAAAAATTTATAATTATTTGTAGGCTCAGTACTGTAATAATAATACAGGATTCCCTATTAATTCATGAATTTCACACATTTGAAGAATTTTTCTCAGTATCTTCTCTTAATAACTGATAAAATTAGCATTTTTTAAATGCTTTTTTTGGGGGGCATGGTGAATGACATATATTGAAAACTAGTTTTGGAATTTCATTCAAAATGAGTTGAGATTTCCTGTACCTTAATCTCTTTCCTTTTGGGGGATTTTTCTATGGATGTATTAACAGTATTAACAAGATTAGAGAAATAAAGAGATATGGCTAAAAAACAAAAAGAATGAAGAAACCAACAATAGGATTTTTTTGAAAATGGACCAAATACCTGTACTGATGAAAGATGTAAATACTGAGAAGTCGTTATTCCTAAATGTGATAAATGGTTTAAAACCGACAAGTTGAAGATTGAGACACTTATGCAACATATGGGAATCTTTATTGAAGAAACGTTTTGCCACACAGAAGGGTGTAAGGAGAGGGGGAGTTTGAGGTAATCAGTCCCTTAGCCTGGAGTCGATATACTCAGTCCATCAATCTTGTAGAAAGTACAGCATAAGACTGTAGAAGTGGCTTATATACGCACTGTTGTCAGGTGAGGCGAAGCAGGAGGCGGTGGGGTCACAGTGGTACCATCCACTAGTCAAAGTAGGTCTTTGTCCAAAAGTTGGACAAGGTTGAAGAATTCTTTGTATCAAGAACTCTTCAACCCTGTCCAACCTTTATATAAAGGAATTATGTATGCTCTCTGCCAATCCCTAGGTACCTTCCCCTCTTTCATACATTTATTAAATAAAAATACCAACCACTCCAACACTATATCTGTACCTGCTTTTAACATTTCTGTCATGATCCCATCAGTTCCAGCTGCTTTACCAACCCTTTCATTCTAAGTAATGACTCACGCACCTCGCCTCACACTCACATCCTGCTCTTCTTCACTCCTAAAAGATGTTGTACCTCCATGGCCAGTGCATGAAATTACTGCCTCCCTTTCTTCATCAACATTTATAAGTTCCTCAAAATATTCTCGCCATCTACCCAATACCTCCAGCTCCCCATCTGCTAACTCCCCTACTCTGTTTTTAACTGACAAATCCATTCATTCCCTAAGCTTTCTTAACTTGTTTATCTCACTCCAAAATTTTTTCTTATTTTCAACAAAATTTCTTGACAATGCCTCTCCCACTCTATCATTTGCTCTCCTTTTGCATTCTCTTCACCTTTATTTTATTCTCCATATACTCTGCTCTTCTTATATCACTTCTACTTTGTAAAAACCTCTCATAAGCTACCATCTTCTACCTCATAAGCTAACTTCTTCTTAGGTGTCCCATTGCTTGATCGCTAGCGCACTCAGCTCACACACTGAGGTCCGGAGTTCGAATCTTCTCCAGTGCAGCTGGAAAACATTAGGGACATGTTTCCATAAGCCACCTGCTGTCCCTGTCCCTCTTCACCCATCAGTTTAAAATGGGTACCTGAGTGTTAGTCGACCGATGTGGGTCGCATCCTGGGACAAAACTGATCTAATTTGCATGAAATGCTCAGCATAACAAGCAGCTTTCTGTATAGTAGTATATGTCACTGATGTCAACTAGGCCTGAATACTATGTACATATATTTGTAGTAAATAAAGAATTATTATTATTATTATTATATTATTATTACCACACATTGCCCTTAGACAGGACATCTCCACTGCCTCCAACCGTCTCCTCGCTGCTGCATTTACCACCCAAGCATCACATCCATATAAGAGTGTTGGTACTACTATACTTTCATACATTCCCTTCTTTGCCTCCATAGATAACGTTTTTTGACTCCACATATACCTCAACGCACCACTCACCTTTTTTCCCTCATCAATTCTATGATTAACCTCATCCTTCATAAATCCATCCGCCGACACGTCAACTCCCAAGTATCTGAAAACATTCACTTCTTCCATACTCCTCCTCCCCAATTTGATATCCAATTTTTCTTTATCTAAATCATTTGATACCCTCATCACCTTACTCTTTTCTATGTTCACTTTCAACTTTCTACCTTTACACACATTCTCAAACTCATCCACTAACCTTTGCAATTTTTCTTTAGAATCTCCCATAAGCACAGTATCATCAGCAAAAAGTAACTGTGTCAATTCCCATTTTGAATTTGATTCCCCATAAAATTCGGAGTGTGGAAATTAGGAGAAGGTGTGGAGTTAATAAAAGCATTAGTCAGAGGGCAGAAGAGGGGTTGTTGAGGTGGTTTGGTCATTTAGAGAGAATGGATCAAAGTAGAATGACATGGAAAGCATATAAATCTATAGGGGAAGGAAAGAGGGGTAGGGGCCGTCCTCGAAAGGGTTGGAAAGAGGGGGTAAAGGAGGTTTTGTGGGTGAGGGGCTTGGACTTCCAGCAAGCGTGCATGAGCGTGTTAGATAGGAGTGAATGGAGACGAATGATACTTGGGACCTGACGATCTGTTGGAGTGTGAGCAGGGTAATATTTAGTGAAGGGATTCAGGGAAAACCGGTTATTTTCATATAGTCGGACTTGAGTCCTGGAAATGGGAAGTACAATGCCTGCACTTTAAAGGAGGGGTTTGGGATATTGGCAGTTTGGAGGGATATGTTGTGTATCTCTATACGTATATGCTTCTAAACTGTTATATTCTGAGCACCTCTGCAAAAGCAGTGATAATGTGTGAGTGTGGTGAAAGTGTTGAATGATGATGAAAGTATTTTCTTTTTGGGGATTTTCTTTCTTTTTTTTGGGTCACCCTGCCTCGGTGGGAGACGACCGACTTGTTGAAAAAAAAAAAAAAAAAATTATTATTACTTATCACACCCTTTACATCATCATTCCACCAATCACTCCTCTTTCCTCCTACACCCACCCTCCTATATAAACTCTATAAACATGTACATCCTGAAGCCTACCCATCAACCTTTTATCCACCAATACATAATTTAACAAACTACTTTCATTATGTGCAATATCATAACGTGTATACTTATTTAGCCTCTTTTTCATAAAATATGTATTACTTATTACCAAACCTCTTTCTACACATATTTCAATTAAAGGCTCCCCATTTTCATTTACCCCTGGCACCCTAAATTTACCTATTACTCCTTCCACAACATTTTTATCCACTTTAGTATTAAGATCCCCAACCACAAGTACTCTCTCACTTGGTTCAGAACTCCCCATGCATGCATTCAACATTTCCCAAAATCTCTCTCTCTCCTCCACACTTCTCTCTTCCCCAGGTGCATAAACACTTACTATAACCCACTTTTTATATCCAACCCTTATTTTACTCCACATAATCCTTGAATTTATACATTTATATTCCCTCTTTTCCTGCTATAACTTATCCTTCAACATTATTGCTGCTCCTTCCTTAGCTCTAACTCTATTAGAAACCTCTGATCTAATCCCATTTATTTCTCCCCACTGAAGTTCTACCCCCTTCAGCTTTGTTTCACTTAAAGCTGGGACATCCAGCTTCTTTTCATTCATAACATCCACAATCATCTCTTTCTTATCATTCGCATAACATCCATGCACATTCAAACATCCCACTTTGACGATTTTCTTCTTTTTCTTTTTAGTAAGTTATATAGTTATATGGGAAAAGGGGTTATTAGCCCATTGCTCCTGGCATTTTAGTTGACTTTTACAACATGCATGGCTTATGGAGGAAAAATTCTTATTCCACTTCCCTATGGATATGAAAAGAAAAACAAATAGAACAATAACTATTAAGATAAAATCAAAGAAAAACTCAGATAAGTGTGTATACATAAATGTGTACCTGCATGTGTAGTGTAACCTGAGTGTAAGTAGAAGTAGCAAGACGTATCTAAAATCTTGCATGTTTCCGAGACAGAAAAAAAGACACCAGCAATCCTATCATCATGTAAAACAAATACAAGCTTCTGTTTTACACTCGGTAGGATGGTAGTACCTCCCTGGGTGGTTGCTGAAAATGACAGATATCTTGCCCAAATTACATTGCATAACCATGGGCTTTCCATGTACATATTAAGTAACAACATATAATGTAATTGTATGTAACGTCATGGAAAATAAACCTGTACATAGTTTTCAGTTCAGTTCAGTAACATTTTTTTCTTTTATAATATGCTTAACTGTTTCATGGAAAGTTGACCTACAACTGTTCTGACCTTTCACACAGCCAATTAAGACAATGACATGGTGAGTGCAAAAGTAAGCAAAATACACAAGCAATATTTTAATACACTACAGTAATATACAAATACATATGTGAGCAAGGTAATATTTATGAAAGAATTTAGGGAAATCTTAGCCAGACTTTAGTCCTGGAGGCAGGAAGGGCAGGACCTGCTCTCTGGAGGGGTAGGGATGCTACAGACAGAAGGTAATCTGTCTGTGATGTCAGTACACTTTTGAAAAGATGCTGATTGAGTGAATGTTGATAAATATTTTCTTTTTTGGGTAACCCTGCCCTGGCAGGAGATGGGTGATAAGTTATGAAATGACATTATAAATGTAAATTTATCTTTTTCATATGAAATTTATAGAGTGCTACACATCATATGGTAAGAAATACCTATAAATTGCATGACTACAATTACATCCTACGATAACATCAGCTTTTCCTTGCCTAATGTAGATTTGCTTTATGCAAATTCACTATTACAAGATGTTTTATTTCTATTGATAATTCCACTCATGTGACTTAGATCTGCCATGTGCTATCAGTACAGTTCACAAAGCATACTAAAGATTGTTACATTACTACTGTATACAGAATTAAATGTTTATGGCCTGGCTGTGCTTAGTAAAGCTGCCATATGCCTGGAATGCATCTGCAGCACAGTACAGTACAAGAGTCACTC